AATGTAGATGTACATACCCACTGTAAATATACATTTGTAATTTTGTTCATATATATCTTATTATTATTAGCAACCTTTACTTATATTAATCTATTGTTAATATCTGTTCATGGCTAATACAACCTGTATATAATGTTCATAGTACATCCATCTGTAAATATCACGATAGTTGTTCTATAATTACACTTTAAAGCTTATACTTGTATCCTGCACTTACTGCTACTGCACTCCTAAACTGCATTTTGTTGCCTTGTACATGTGTTATGACAATAAAGTTGAATCCAATCTAGTCTAATATAAATGGAAAGATAATTACTTATAGTTATGTTACAAAAATATTAAATATTAATATTAAATTCATATTTTAGTAACCAAACATTTTTATAAATGGAAAGATAACTACTTGTATAATTATGGTTTTGATAAAACATATTTAAATTCATGTGAAATATTGCAAAAAAATAAATAAATACAAACTACAAAATTGAAAAAATATTTTTTTTTTTATATTTTTTGTTTCTCCTAAATTCTTTGATAATTTTTTTTTAATTTCATATTTTTCCCCTAACTTTTCCCTAAAATTTGGGCATCGTTGGACTGTTATTCTATTAATTTTGTCAGATTAGCTCCAGATTCGGCCTCAGTAAAATCAAAGAATACAGGTTTTTTTTTTTTTTTTTTTAAGAAATTTCTATTCCTCAAAGTATCCTAAATATGTGACTTTCCCAAAGTCCTTTACTTGTTTGGTTTACACTTAACACTGATATGATAGTATGGCAGAAATGTTTCTAGATCATGTGAGACTCGAGGATGGAGTAATGACGGCTTCAGCATTGTCTTCACAAATTAAGATGTATTCAAACAGTAAAGTAACAGTAACAGTAAAGTTGTAATATTTAATAAATTTTCTGTTAATATTGTATTTTTATAGATAAAAAGTAGACAGCCTTGATGAGAACACACATTTTTTGTCAGAATCATTACAATATGAAACCTCCCCTGAATATTTAACTGGTGGTGTACATAATATTAATGTCATTCGTTTTTGTTGTTTCTTTTTTTTGGGTTACTCTCTATGATTTGTAAATAGCTGTTTATTTCTGTTGGCCAGAATTTACTCACTCAACTCTTCACTTCACTGCAAGCCTGATAGACACCATGCCTACAAGTGTTACCTTTAGAATTACCTTTAACACCTATAACATTTACAAAGACTTATGTAAATGATGAGACATTTTATCTGAGTTCTTAGGTCTCTCTTTTTCCAGCATTCTGCCGGGGTGTCGTTAGAAGGGCACATTACATAAGGTGCCCTCATTCCATGCTGAAGTCCGCCATTGCTCTCCAGAGAGCCACTCCACCTTGCTTTCAGTATATAGGCTAGAAATGAGGAGAGCAACTAAAAACTCAATTACATGCTTGAGTATACAGCAGAGAAACTATTTACTTAATAATATTTGCATTGCTTATTATTTATTACTGTTTCATAATAGAAATACGTTTTTTTTATTTTCATGTTGTTATGTTGTTGCTGAAGTCTTTAGGTCAGTGTTAGGGCGTCCTTGTTGCCAAATAACGGACAAGTGCAGTGTTTTGTAATCAACTCTACTACCTCACCTAGTGAAAGCTCATTGGCTGGTGAGTGGAGGTAGCCTGGCATCATGCATCACGTGATCTCCGCTCTGGTGCCAGTAGTGCAGGGAGGGGCCATGTTTGTTTTGGACTGCGACTCTCACACGGATCTGGGACATTGATTTCAGGCATGTTCCATAGATGTGGGATGGCTTTCGTGATCGTGAGCGAACGCTAATGCTGTGGTACTTTTACAAGCAGGTAAAATAAATGAAATGTCCTGTTAACTTCTTAAAAATATGTATATACTTGTGCTGTTTATATATTTCTGAGTGAGGCACATTGATTATTTACTGATTTGGTGTATGTTTTACGCTCCATTGCATTATGGTTGGAAGTTGATCTATAAAGGCACCACCACTTACACAAATTACATATCTGAGTGATTCAATTGGAGATACGGAGGCAGATCTTTGTGCTTCTGAAAGCTTTCAGATTTTTTGCTGAGCTTTGCACGTTCATCCATCGAAGTGTCAGCTATATCATATGTTTTGAGTGCTGTTTTTCAGCTTTTCCCTGAGGAATTATGTCTAATGGATTATTAGAGAGAGAAAGAGAGAGAGATTTGGGCTGATATTTGTCTGTTATGTTTTTACATTGAATATACTCTTAATTTTGATGTGCCTTTACTGACTCCTTACACTTTCTGATTTCAGTTCTTTTTATTGTCGACCACAAAAGATGTTTACAGGAATGTTAGTGCTGCTCATTTGCATATGAAATGTGAGTTTTTTTTTACTGACTACTTACACTTATTTCAGTTCTTTTTATTGTCGACCACAAAATGAGATGCTTAGAGGAATGTTAGTGCTGCTCTTTTTATTGTGATATTGGATGGTGAATAGTGGCTTTCAAGGCTCTGTAGAAGTAGTCCACACAACTCTCGCTTTACATTTTTAAGTCTGTGTATGTCATATGATAGATTTGTTGGTGAAACAGACTAAGTGTAAGTCTTTATTTACTGAAAATCAGCCCTTTCACTTAAGCATAAATTATGAAATAGTGGAAGGATTTAAATGTTGTTTTGAACAAATGAAGACAAAAATTTTTTATCAAATGTTATACTTTTTTGATTTTATTTTTTACAAGATCTGAAGGACTCAAGATAAATAGAAGAAAAAATGTGATGTTTTCATGTTTGACTATTAAAATGCGAATAAGCTTTGTGAAGAGAGCAGAGCCTTATAGCTCATGGCTCAGATACTCTGTCAACTATAAACAAAGTCTACATGACCTGGAGGTTGCTGAGACTTATTTTAGTATGTTGATGTACTTCCAACTGAAATTAAATGTTAAGTAGGGGGCGGGGCTTTTTTTTACGCATCATTCACTCAGCAAAATATCAGTAAGAGAGACGTGGGTAAGGATAGTGGCTGAAGCCATCAAACTGATGTCTGAATGTTCAGACTTTGATTGGATTAACTTGCATGGATTAATTGTTCATATAAAAAATATCAATGTGCGCTAGCAAAATAAACATTGTAAATTTTGATTTGACTTAACTTCAAAGCATAGTCAGTGTTAAATCAGTTTTTGGAGCGCACAGACATGAAGCTGTCAAGAACATTTCATCACGCCATTAATTATGTCGAAAAACCAGTAGGAATACACAAGCTGTTTTTTAGAGAGCTAAACAATCATCAAGTGGTTACACCATGACATTACACAGATTTTTCTTTCTTTTCTCATTTAGATGGTGCTAATCTGCCTCCTCAATTTTATTTGAATTGGAGCGTCTCTATTTTAATTAGAAATACTGCACTAATTTTATTACTAATTTTATTATTACTAATTTATAATTTTTAATATTAAAAAAGAATATTAATTACTGCATAAATATAATTTTTTTAACCACATCCTCTCAAAAAGAAAAAAAATATTATTAAACAATTTTTTTTAAGGATTTTCTTGATTTAAAAAAAAAAATCACATTTGTGGTCTTCGGTCACTTTTGACCAAATGGAGTACAAGTGTGATTCTGTTTTCTGGAGACCCAGAGGGTGCTGTTGAACTGCATCACAGTTGTCACAAATACTGCAGAAGACCTATTGGAATCCGCATGGACCCAAGATTCTTACAGAAATGAGTCAAGTTTGGTGAAGGAAAAATCCTGGTTTGAGTGTATGAGTGCAGAGTGGATGGCAACATCAACAACCTGAGCTATCAAGACATTTGTGCTACCCATTACATTACGAACCACAGGGGAGGGCAAATTCTTCATCAGGATAGCCCTCCTCATACTTCAGCCTCCACATCAAAGTTTCTGAAAGCAAAGAAGGTCAAGGAGCTCCAGGACTGGCCAGCCAAGTCACCAGACATGAACATTATTGAGCATGTCTGGGGTAAGATGGAGGAGGCATTAAAGATGAATCTTGATGAACTCTGGGAGTCCTGCAAGAACAATTTCTTTGCCATTCCACATGACTTTATGAATAAGTTATTTGAGTCATTGCAGAGATGTATGGATGCAGTCCTCCAAGCTCATGGGAGTCAGACACAATGTTAATTATTTTTCCACTGCACCATGACCTTATATTCTATACTGCACATTATTTCTGTTAAGTGACAAGACTTTTGTCTAAGCAATGTCAGGCCTTACTGTCCTAATTAAATATATAAAATTAAGGCTCATATTTTATTTAGCTAAAATAGGCATTAGACGCCTTTGCCTTTTACATAAGCCCCTCCTGATACCAAATGATCAACAAGAAGTCAAGTTTATTTGCTGTTCCTAAAACTTGGATAGGCGACAAGACTTTCATCAGGTAGTGTATTGTGACATGCACGGCTTCAAAAGAAAGCTCAGTACAACTATAGCAAATGTTTAATGAAGTTCAGGAACAGTGCTTGCTGAATCTGTGGATTATGATTTGTTTTTTATCTTTAAATACAAATATTACACAAACTAATTGTTGTGGAAATTATAAAAAATATAGTGGGACCCGTTTAAGTAATTTGGTAACTTCACAGTTTTTCACTTTTTGTTGTTTTATGCTTTATACTTGATTTCTAATTCGTATAATAAAACACACAACCTGCATTCTTAGTCAGCTCTTGAGTTTTTGTAAAATATCTTTCTTTTCGGTAAGTGACTTTGGTACAAGTAGTATTTACCATTGGTGTTTACTCAAGGGCAGAGGCTTTCGTTTGTGTGCGTTCCTGTTTAACTTGCCACAACCTGGTCTTGTCTGAAACTCTGCCTGTTTTCATTAAGGAAAACAGGATCCGTCAACAGAGCTGTAGTTACCGCTGACACCTTTACAGTTCCTCAGCAGGGTCATTCTCCACTCTCCATTTCATGTGTCGTGTGTGTTTGTGGTGCGCCTGCTTATTACTAATGGATGTGTTTTTGGATGTCTGCCCCGCAGCCCGTGACGCAGATGAGCGGGAAAAGTGGATTCATGCCTTAGAGGGAACAATTCTCCGTCACACCCTTCAGCAGGTAATCTTGGCCATTTGTATGATATTTCACATATCTTAGCCAGATAGTTTAAAAAGATATCTGTAAAATATGTTTCCTTTTGAAATATGTTTTTGGTGACATTTTGAAAGCATCTGAGTGCTATATGATGTACACAGAAATGAAACAGGTGTTACCCTATAAATAAAACCATTTTGATTCAGAAATAGCTTGTCAATTTCAGAAGTATTTGCAAAGGAACAGGTATTATTGAATCAAATGTGCTGTATGTAAGTTTTTGACTCTACTAAAGCATAAAAACACCATAATATGCAGATATTTTAGAAGCATGCCAAGTGAACATTCTTGTTTATCTGAAAAATATTGAAAATGTCTTTTACATGCTGGAACACTGTCTTTTTTTGGGGTTTTTTAACCCACCCAATGCCAATTTAGTCAATTACATTTCAGTACCCTGGGTTGCCTTGATGGAAAACTGTATTTAATTCATTCATTCAGAAAGGCTCTTAAAGTAAGCATACGTGACTGAAATGCGCCCTCTGGTGGACAGTAGCAGACTCCGAAATGAGACTCAAGCTGCGTCCCAAATGGCACACTATACACTATGCACTCATGCACTATGTACTTATGCACTTACACACTCAACAGGATAGTATATGTATGTAGTGTTGTCCCAAATGGCACACTAATGTTTTTTTTACTAAGCGGAAATTCAAACCGTTTCCCTGATGACGTTTGACGGTTGCCAAATCAGTGAAATAAACAACTGAATTATCAAATAATACCTGCCGTAAGTACTGCTGTATTCTCCATCGGGAGGCGCTATAATCACTTTCGTAGGAGAATTTTGCTTTCACCATCCAAAATAAATAAAGTTATTCAACATGTGCGTCCGATAGCTCCGCCCCTTCCGCTACGTAAGCAAACCTGCGTTCGTTGAGTGCGTGAAGTGTCCATCATTACACACTTCATTTTAGCGGCTGAATGAGTGCATCATCCGGGTAATTAAAGTGCACTTATTATTTTTAGAATTTTCAGTGTGAACACACTACTTACACTATTCATACTACAAAATGGCGTAGAATAGTGCATAAGTATGCGATTTGGGACGCAGCTTCAGATTCATAGTTCCACATGAGGTGGTTATAATTAGCAAGTCATATAAATATTACGAATGTAAACATCAGGTGAACAGGTTGCATTGTAACCCCGTGTCCTTACAACACGCTATATGATAAGCAATTTGGCTCTTTGCACCAGATAAAACACGACAGAAATTTAAACACAGCCATTCTGAAGCACAGAATATGCTCTCACTCACGAAATGGTAATGTTTATAATCTAATTAATAGGTAAACCTCTTGAACTACTAAATGTAGAAGCTGAGTCACTGATGTGTGTTGGTTTTAAGTCACAGCTCTGTTTATAAACAGTTTATTTTATTTTTAAGATCTAAGGTGAACTATCTGCTGCTGCTTTTAGTAGTATGGCAATAAATGTCATGTAAAATGGCATTCAAACTCGCATTGTTAGCATTTAACTCTGGAAAAATTACATGAGGTGTACTTGTGGTGGTCATTGTCAGTTGATCATGTTGTTCAGCTGCAAGAAATAGACAATGTTTGTAATATATCGATTCGAAGTGTTGGTTAGAACAAAAACTCGTTCTTGCAGTTACTTGTATACAAAACACAATTTAAATCAGCCTTAAATCAGCTTTTAGGCTTAATAGTCAGGCTCGCTTGTGTTCGTCCTCAATCTGGCAACCTGCACTTGCATTTGTTTTGATTCAGGAGTGTAATACGTAGTTCAACCACTGGGTGTCAAACTTACATACTGCACCTTTAAAGGTGGATTTTAGAAGAAGAGAGGATGGTATTTTTTTATTTATAAGTAAAAAGTAGTTTTTATTAATCAATTTTTTGATAATACTAATTATAAAATTATTTTCATTCATTTTCCTTCGGCCTAGTTTCTGATTTGTTTGGTCGCAACAATGGAATGAACTGCCAACTATTCCGGCATATGTTTTATGCAGCGGATACCCTTCCAGCCGCAACTCAGCACTGGGAAACACCCATACACTCACATTCACACATGCACTCATACACTACAGCCAATTTTGATTTGCCAATTCACCTATACTGTAGTGCATGTCTTTGGGCTGTGGGGGGAAACCGGAGCACCCTGAGGAAACTCGTGTGAACACGGGGAGAACATGCAAACTCTAATAATAATACTAATAAAGTTTAAAAATAATGAAGTTAAGCGAAATTATTAAAAATATATGTATGACTGTTTGTGGCTGGAAATTAATTGATGTCATTTTTTGTCAGTGTTAATTCATTGTGTTTTCTCCAAGTATTTCATATATATTTTTTTTTTTATATTTCATGAGTAAGCGGCGCAGTAGGTAGTGCTGTCGCCTCACAGCAAGAAGGTCGCTGGTTCGAGCCTCGCCGTTTCTGTGTGGAGTTTGCATGTTCTTCCTGCGTTCGCGTGGGTTTCCTCCGGGTGCTCTGGTTTCCCCCACAGTCGAAAGACATGGGGTATAGGTGAATTGGGTAGGCTAAATTGTCCGTAGTGTATGAGTGTGTGTGTGGATGGATGTTTCCCAGAGATGGGTCGCGGTTGGAAGGGCATCCGCTGTGTAAAAACATGCTGTATAAGTTGGCAGTTTGTTCTGCTGTGGCGACCCCAGATTAATAAAGGGACTAAGCAGACAAGAAAATGAATGAATGAATGAATTTCATGAGTACATCCTCTTAAAGTTTTCTGAAAAACATTAACCACAAATAGAAAACTGTTTGTCAAATAGTTTAATTGGGACTTAAACTTTTTAGACTTACCTTTTTTATATAAACTGTGACAGCATAGTCTGCACAATGAATGTTATTTTCTCCCTCTTTACCTCCCGTTAGGAAAGCATAATGTTTTTAATTTGTGAAAGATTCACTTTTTAAGAAGAAAACCAAGCCTAATTCGACTCATCTCTTCCTCTCAAAGAATTCTCCATTTTCTCTCTCCCTTAGCTCTGCGTTTTTCAGTTAAACCTGCTGACTGGCAGCTGCGTGCACCTACACGCAGTTTGTGAGCAGCTATCCGGTCACATGATTTCCACCAGCCATTCACATCATTGCTTATTCAGCCTGTCCCTCCAGTGCAGCAGCTGTCAGATCCAATCACAGCACAGCATTATGTTTTCTACAGTCTGCAAAGCTTATGCCACTTTTTCTTTTGCTTTTTTTCTTCTTAAGAGGAAGTCTAGTCTTCCTGGTCAAGAGTGGTTTATACAAAAGCTGATAGGTGCTTGTTCACCTTATTCGCCCCTCCTTTAGAGGGGGAACTTACAGGAAAAGCCTGTGTGTACTGATACTGAAAGTGTTTCTGGGAGTTTGGGTCAGATTTGTGGAGGCATGTCCCGCAGAGGCAAGCACAGAGTGAGTATTTTTGTTTTGTTGGAGCTCACTGACGCGTTAAACAGGTCACGTTGTGTGTGAGTGCGCACAGGTAGGTGTGTATGTGTGCGTGTTTATGAAAGGAAGAGAAACATTTGTTTGTGCAAATAGAGGTCACGCTTGAATACGTAGTTACTTTTTTCCTCGCTTGTGATTTATAATCTCAGTCATATCATGCGTGTAGAGTCTGTGTTGGCATAACAGACCACATGACTCAAGATCAGACTCCTAAAATGCACAATAATAGCCAGCACACCTCGAGTTGATTCATTCTGAAACGCTAGTCTATGCAGTTGTGTTAGATGTTGAGATTTACTGCTGTGAGTCAGACTGAATGAGTGAGTCAATGGGATGAGCTTCCCGTCTGTCTCTTCAGGTGTGTGTCAGCTAACACGTAGCTCATAGCTGTTTTTCTCTGCCAGGCACAGGTTAAAATAATTATGCAACATGCTCTTAAGTGCCCTAAATGGTAGTTATGAGGTATTTGTCTAATAAGTTCATGCCAGAACAGCAGATCTCAGGCATGCTGGGAGGTGAGATGTTTATGGTGCCTGTAGGATGTGACTAAGCATATGTTCCCACACTTAACTTGTAGGGAATTGCGGTTCAGGTTCCAGGGAATATGCATATAATGAAACGATAATAATGATGCATAGTATAAAACTATAAAGTATGTAAACTCGCGTTAACTCATAAATCTGTCTGCGCCTGAGAAATTAGAATTGGAATTAAAAGTGTGCTGTATAGAGTTGTTGGAAATGCAGGACAGCCTGTGAGCTTTTTCAGTTTGTGTGACTTTTACTCGTTACTCGTTTACTCGTTTACACTCATAAAATAGCCTACAAGCTGTCTAAACTCTCTATTTTCAACGTACATTTGTATTTATTTATGATTATTGTTTATTTGCTATGTAGACCCAAAATAAAAACGTTTTATCTTAATTTTAGTTAATGTGTGTTTTCTAGGATGAATAAATTAACAATACATTCATTACAGTATTTATTCATCTTTGTTAACATCAGGAAATGAAAATACTGTTGTTCATGTAAACTCAAAGTGCATTAACCAATTTTAACAAGCAAAGCCTTGGATTTTAATAGTGCATTAGAAAATGTTGGACTACAATTAATAAATGCTTTATAAGATTTGTTATTTTTTTGTTTATGTTAGTAGTTAAATAAGCTAACATTAAGTACATGCAAAGTCCCTTTATGACAAATCATTTTACTCTGCACGGGCATTCTGTCTGAATGGGGAAACATCACATTTTTCAAAACTGTTTGTCAAGCTTATGATTACGTTACAACCACCGATAAAATAACACAACAACTATCTCATAAGTTTCATTTATAAATGTTAGAATCAAACAAAATCAGCATTTTTTTTCAGGTTGCACGAGCTAATAAGCATGCACATTCAAAAGGAACAAGATCACGACACCAACCTCATTTATACACGTTGTCATCCTGTGGATAATGATTGTCTGAAAGTGCTGGTCTTCTGAAGTAATTCACTACTTGGTCTTGATGGCGAATCTCCTCTAAACATAACAGCGACTCTGTTT